AAGCACAACAGATACAATTAAATGTTTTATTTTATTCCACTGTTGACATTTTCATGATATACAATACATACCACAATATTTAATTTTTTCGAGGTTTGTTGGAACAGACAAAATGCATCAGAACAACAGCTAAAAGTCAACGTGAATCAGAAATCATAACTAATTTTCTTTCCATACCATGACAATATTGCAGAGTGAAACATGGAGAATCAGAGAAGGTCTCAGAGCTAGACGGGCAGCTTCATTCAGCTAAAAAAGAGATACATGGGGTGATGGGAGGGGGAAATGAAACATGATGTTATTGGTCAATATTATTTTTCACATCTACTGTGCATGATGACAATCAAAAATCAGAAGAAAATTTCAAGGAGTGCAAAAGTCATCACAGTTTAGGCAAACATAAAGCAAACAAAGAATTTTGTCTTTTAAATGGGAGGATAAGTTTTTTATATAGGCTCTGTGTTCCCCTACTTTAAAATATACTCATGCGGCCAGAGATTTCATGAAGTAGGACGCTTTGGAGCAGCCCAGCTTTGAGAAAGAAAGGAAATGCAGTTTCAGTGATGCACGTTTACTGTCACAAATTAGTTTTGTGAGTATGAAGTAAAAGGCCCAAAATCATAGATTCCCACCTCTGCAGTGTAGTATATTGTCCTTTGAACTGTGACAATTTAGGTTATGAAATGAGTAAGAAAAGAATGTCTGGCATACATATCCTTACAAATCTACTCCACGGTCAAAAGAGCGTCTACTTCACCACTACAAGACTCAATCCATCACCCACAAGGACTACAAGGACACAATGAGCCACATTCAGCTACAGGAACATGGTCAGTAGGAGAGTCAGCTGTACCTCAAGGTCTGTGAGTGAGTTTGATTTTAAGTGCTTGTTGCTGTTTCTGAGGATGTCAAGTGGCTTTTTAAAATTTTTTAAACAATATCATGACATGACTGACTGCAATTGAGATTTAAAGAGAAGAACATCTGTACCGAGCTTCAGAAAAACAGATGCTCTTTAGTGAATGCTTGGAAACCGTTGTGAAAGATTGGCAGGGTGACTTTGGAATCTGTGCTTCGACTAAGGGAATGTTTCATAACTGCGCTATTGTTTTGTTTGGCATAGCATGTCATTGTTTGATATTGCTGCTTGCAAACAGATGAAAGGCAAAAAGGAGGATTTTGAAAGTACAAGAGTATTTTGTTTCAGAACACTGCCATGTTATACAGCTCTCAGACAGTAGAGGACCCTACGGAGCCCTGCTGTTGACATCCCGTATAAGGGTCTTTCTCCATTTGGAGTGGGAAATCAGGTGGATACATTTTTTAAAAATCTATTTCTTTCATTCTAAAACTAAATAATCTTAATATGTCCATTAACACCTCCTATTATCATATATGCAAAAAGGAGAGCTTCATTCTAAACATACTTTACATGTTTTATATGAATATAGTGTAACACCAGTGACTGTGACACCAGTGACATTCTGGGTAAAACTGAAGATTTTGTGAATTGGCTGACTCATTGGTGGTCAGGTGAGCTTGTGCAACTATTTAAAGTCTGTAATAAAAATGATATATAGTATTATTTTTACAAAATTTTAATTACCCAGCCAGTAAAGCACAAACACCCGGTAACATATAGAAGCTATGTGCTGCCTGATAAACAAAATTATTAATAAATTAATGAAATATATTGAGCAAGTGTGGACTCACCTTCTCATGCCTTGGGATGCTTCCTCTCTGATGAGCCTCAACCTAAAGAAGCAGTTTAATAGAGTTGAAAATACTATGTCAAAAAAAAGTAAACATTAATCTGTTTTATACAAATCCCTAAGTTAAATCTCTTACCAGTTATGCAGCGAGTTGTTTCACGCATGCAGAGCAACTATGAAACAGGATAAAAAAAGAAAAATCTGAGAAATCATAATGAAATTGTGTTATTTAATCCTAGGTCAACAATGTAAATGTACATACCGACTTTTGGAGCTGTGCCTAATACTTCAAGCATCTTTTTAAGCCCTGCAACCTTTGTGACATGGTTTCCCACTCCAAATGGAAAATGACCCATAAATAAAAATAATGCATCTTAGTAAGGCGTGGGAACGAGATAATAAAGTTGTGACCATGACTTAGTAAGGTGTGGAAATGAGATCATGCCTTATTAAGATGTGGTCAAGGCTTAATTATCTCTTTCCCACCCCTTACTAAGTCATGGCCACACATTATGATCTCGTTCCCATGCGTTAATATGCCATGCATTATTTTTATTTATACAGGATGTCACCAGCAGGGCTCTGTAGGACCCACTTGCTGATGCACTCTTGCTCCATAAATGGCTGCAAAAAAACAGAGTAATATAATGGAGCAACACAGCGCACTCAATCTAACAATCACATCCAGCTCAGTGATGTATGACAAAATTGCATATCATTCTAACATGGAAAATGTTATGTTAAGGTACTTCAACTTCTCCAGCAGCACAATAACATTGTATGGATCTGAGGGCAGGGGGCTACGCTGCCTCTATTACAGTTACCTGCAGGAGAGAAAGAGGATGGAAGCATGCTCGCAAATATTCACTATATATCCAATGCTCATTCAACATTTCTTCTGAAATCAGGAGTATTAAAATGGAGTTTGTCCTCCTTTGCTGCTGTAACAGCCTCTACTCTTGTGGGAAGGCTTTACACTAGATGTTGGAACATTGCTGTGAGGATTTGATTGCATTCAGCCACAAGAGCATTACTGAGGTCAGGTACTGATGTTGAATGATTAGTTATGGATCACAAACTCCACTCCAACTCATCTCAGAGGTGTTGGATGGAGCTCAATCACTCCAACAATGCTCCAACAATGCTCCACTGCTCCACATTTTATGCTGGGGAGGTTTATACACCTCTAGCTGCTTGGCATTGGGCATGGTGACCTTAGGCTGACAAGCAGCTGCTCTGGAGCATCCCATTCTATTAGCACTGCTGTGTTCACTAATAAGAAGGGGTGTCTAGGTATTTTTGGACATAATGTGTATATATGTACGTGTATGTGTGATGTGTGTGAATCAATTTGCAGTCAAGCAGAAGCTGAATGATTGCATGTCTACGTCCTTTTTCACCTCAGGCCAGACTTGCCCAGATGTGCATGTGAAGCTAACAGGCTTGTTTTTAATTAGGCTGTAATTAAAATGTGTTAATTATGAAAAGGGACTGAAATGTGTCTTTTGCACCCTAGGACAGGATTGTTTAAAGAGTGAGTGTTGAAAGCATCATAAATTTACCTTCTTTTTTTCAGGCTTACTTACAGGAGCTTCACTTTCTTTAGGGGTTTAGTAAAACAGCGCCCCCCATTGGAATTCTAATCTATCAGCTCCTTTCTGAATTCCATTGCCAAGAGATGGAATTAAATAAACATGAAGCTCCCCAAACAAGTGCAGAGGGAAATAAAACCGCTGCGCATTTTCTCTGCACTTTATTATGCGAGTATAATTGGTTTTATGGAGTCTAACACGACAGTCGGATCTGCACACTATCCATTGCTATTTTGGGCTAAGACTGCAAAGGGCTGTACAAGCCTCTCTAATAACTTTTTTTTAGTGAAATGGCAGATTATTAATAATTCATAAAAATCACATTCATATAATTTAGCTCGCTGAATGAATTATACATTTTTAGGGCTCGGTCTTCGAACAGCCAAGGTAAAAAGGGCTGTTTGATTTTTAAACACTCAATTGGGGTCGTGCAGGTCGATATGAAGCTAAGAATAATGGAGAATCTGTTATCTGTTGGTTCGGGACTGGGGAAATGTATCTCCAATTTTATAATACAGATGACATACTTTTTCATTTGGAAAACCTAACCTAACCTAAACCTATAGCTCACAGCTTAGCCAACCTTTGTGTTTATGTGGAATATTAATTTTCCAACCTATAATAGGCTTATTCTTTCCAGATTTTGTAGTTATACGGTTAATGTTCTACTTTTGTAGAATATGTGTGTTTAAATATCTTTTAGGCTATTTAAAACTCGACAGAGACAATAAAATGTCATATGTTATTCTAGGCTTTTCTTTCAGCACATCACTTTTGTCATATTATGAATCTCTCAGTCATTAGAACATCCTCACTGACGTGCTCCATAACAGAATGTCAGACAGAATAACCAAAAATAGCTAAAGACATTTTCAAGTTGGGCAAAAGTCACAACATTTTGATCAAAGATACAGAAAACCAAGAATTTCTTCTTTTATATGATATGACATGATGAACTGGTTGAACTGATCTCAGGTTGACTTTTATAAGGCTATGAAAAACTATGAGTTGATGATTTTTTGAGTTCATTTATTTATATTATATTACCTATATTATATAATAATAATAATAATAATAATAATAATAATAATTATTATTATTATTATTATTATTGTTGTTGTTATTATTATTGCATATTTTTCAAAGTGCTTTACATTGTGAGGTAAAAATATAGAAAGAAATGAAATAATAGTCAAAAATGCACAGAACAAAGCAATACCAAAGAAAATAGAATAAAAGTATAGCAATTAAGATAATATAAAAATGGTGTAAAAGTACCATTCCAGAAAAACAATGCATTTAAGGAAAATAATAAAAGCTTATTAGATGCTAAACAAATACATTTTATTTATTTATTTTTATTCATTTACTGTGTAGCCTGACAAATATGTATTGGTTGCCAGTTCCAAATCTTTGGTGCACAAAAACAAAAGGCACCTTAACGACTTCTTTAAAGTTTCGTACGTGGAATATACGTATTATGGCACGATTTTGGAGCAGATTATATTTTATTCCGTCTTATTTTATTACATAATTTCTCATATTGCTATGATAAGCTATGTACAATAATAACATATCGTCATTTTGCATTTTGTCCATCTTTACCACACAGCGTACTCAGCCGGACGCGGTGAGCGGTGAGGGGCAGAGCTGAACCAGTGTTCACTCAGCAGGACAGTGGCGGAAGTGTGAAACTGGGTCGTGAGGCGCCATGTTGGCTCAGCGTGATGGAAGCGGATGCAGGAAGCGGCGGAGGCGGGTCTTTCAGAGTGAGAGCTGTGTTTATTTCTGCTGTGTTGTTTCTGTTTCTCTGCTCGTCCTCTCACAGACAGCAGATATGAGCGCGTCTTTAACCGTGCAGAGGTTAGCGGCTCTAAGCGGGGCTCTGGCGGTCACCGCTGGTGCTTACGGAGCTCACGGTAATCAGACTTATTTGTGTGTTATTTTAGTGACCCGCGACCTGTTTCAAAGAGCAGGGTTTCACAAATCAGACTAAGACAGTTGTCGAGTCTGCCCAATAGGGGAAGAGTTAAAGGTCATTCATGGGTAGTTGTCACTTTGGGTTCAGTTCACTGAGAAATCCTCGTGTGAGAACTGAGATCTTTCCGTGTTTTGGTGGCTGCTTGCAGAATGTCACGTAACTTCTCATCAGTCAGTCACAGCAGCAACGGTTTGCGCAGGCGCAGAGGATCTCTGCTTAACTTGGGGTGGTGAACGCTTTAGCACTTTATGTTTTTATCATTCATCCTGCTTCCTTAATCCATTACAGCAGTGAGAGACATTAACAATGTCGTTGCTTCTACATCTGACACGTTACTTTCAGTAATGAAGGTTAGCGGTGGGAGGAAAAGCTGAAACATAATATGTCACAGTAGGGCCAAGTCAAGACATTTCCATGTATCCTGTGTATCTTGACATTTAGTTTTAGGTTTGGTTAGTTGGATCACACAAAGAAAGAATCAGTATTGCCACATTTAAAAAAACACTCAAAAACTGAGTGCAATGATTTTTATTTGACATTTCACATACAATGCAGTTCTAAGTCCGATTAGACAGGACTACTCTCTTTATGATGTTGTTTAAGTGCTGATATTAGTACACTGTGCAGTAATGAGTAATGTAATATCATTTATAACAGTAAATATGGCCCTTGCCTAATGAAAGTTCTCTTTTTGTCTCAGGCCTTAGGCTGAGTAACAGAGATGATTACCAGAAAGAGGTAAGTATGTTTGTCAAGCGCTTAAGTAAAGTGTAGAAATTCATTTTCTGTAGTGTAATGATTTATGGACAATGCCTTTAAGTGGTGAATCTAACAAGTTAACTTTTTTACCCTCAGCTGTACAGCACAGCCAATACCTATCATTTCTATCACACTCTGGCCCTGTTAGGAGCCGCTCGGTGCAGAAAGCCAGCTCTAGTAAGTACAAATCAATGCCATACATAGATAGATAGATAAACAGATAAACTGACAGACAGATAGATAGATAGATAGATAGATAGATAGATAGATAGATACATAGAGAGACAGACAGACTTGGTTAACTCCTCAAGGGGAAATATAGGTGCAGTAGTAGCAAAGGCACACAGCAAATACACTGACCCCCCAAAAGTATTCAGACACCTTTACCATTTAATCATTGGTAAAGTGCTTAATAAAGTGGAAAACCTAATTGCAAAAAGTTGGGACAGTAGAAAATGTAAATAAAAACATTTATTGAATAGAAAACTGTACAAAGGCAAGAAATTTAATGCTTCAGCTATATAACTTTATTGATTATTGCTTATTTTAAATTTAATTCCTGCAACATGTTCCAAAAAAGTTGGGGAAGGGGCTTGTTTACCACCGTGTTACAAAATCTTTAACAATGTGCAGTAATCGTTTAGGAACTGAGGACACTATTTGTTGTAGTTGCGAAAGAACAAAAGAAAAGAATTCTTGCTTGATATAACACTTTAGTAAAGCTGATAAAATGAAATGTTAAATAGTTCTTTTTTGTGCTGTTTTCAAATACCTGTACCAAACAGTTCACAAATCACTGCTTTCTGTTTTTATTTGTATTTTAACTAAGGTCCCAACTTTTTTGGAATTGGGTTTGTGTTTGTTTCAGAGAAAAGTAGTTTTAGCACAACATCAAATTGACTGTAGACTTTTTGTGTAGGAAAAGCCTTGAGTAGAATTCTGACCAGACTGCACTAAGGGAACCGTGAAGCACAGAGGTAGAAATGTCGGTTAACTTTTTTAAGTATGTAACAAATATATAAATAGTTTTTGGGGCCACTGTATATATGTACAAGTATGCATAATAATAAATACACATAAGTGCACATACTGTGCAGTAAGCGCAAACAAGACAAAGTATAGAAGTCCGCACTGACTGAAACATTAGTATTCAGTGTTGTGTGGTATGTGAAATATTATTGTGTGGATGTTTTTATGTTTGAATACTGATCCTTTCTAAAGTTATGCAACAATTATACTTTTGGAGAAGATCAAAATGATCATACAGGTGGTTTTTTTTGGTGCATTGCGTATTTCAGTAACAGTATGTGACACATCTTGACATGTCATATCATTTTCCACACCTAATGTCTCCTTTCTGTCTGTAGGCCGGGACTGTTCTTCTGGCTGGCATGGGCTGCTTCTGTGGTCCCCTCTACCATCAGGCCCTTACAGGTGACCCCTCCTTCTCCAAGCTGGCGCCAGTTGGTGGTGTACTTTTCATCGTTGGCTGGCTTGCCATGGCTCTCTGAACTTGGACCTCTCTCTGGTACACAGGCCCCTGACTATTTGACCACCTCACTCTGGCAGGGGGTGTAAAGTGTTGAGATGGAGCAGTGGAAGAGAACTGGAGATGTGGTGTAGAGGATAGAATTGTTCAGTCATGTCTGGCAGATGATGATAGTGTCAGGGATCACACTTCTCTTTACAGAAATCCTTGTTTTATATGCATAGAAATACTTGGTGAGGCTGTGACTTAATGTGAGTGAGTGATAAAGTGTGATGTCTTGAAATCATGTAAGTGCAGTTTTTATTTCTCGGGATGAAAAATAAAGCTGTCTGAGAAACTGATTGCCAGGTTGACCTTCTGATATTGTGGAGGAAAAGGCTTTGTGAAGAAGTCCCGCAGGTCAGCGTTGAGACGTCTCAATAACCCTTCTGGCTTTGATCCTCTGAGTGTGATGGCAAGAGGCAGTTCATTACTAGCAGCCTCGATTTAGAGCAGCCAGTGTTCCAACCTATCTATATTCAAATGAAAAAGTGAAATCTATTGAGGCACTAATTCCTGGGTCTCTGATGGTAGGCACAGTGCTGGGTTTGGGGACCTTTTGAAAATTGATTAATAAATCTCCAGGTCAATTTGCGAGGCCAGCCTCATAAGCCGACTTCACGGAGAGGAGACACTCCTATAGACCCTGCATGTCCCAGTAAACTCTGATCGGCTCTAGTAAAACCCTCATTAACTGAGACTATTAGCGCTGCTCTGCAAATCAGGGTCAAGCAATCAAAACTACTTCAGTCTTTGCTGCATGGGACCTAGGGGAGAGCACACATTTGCCTGCACAAATAGGACATCTATCCTGAAAACAAGGGGCTAAACAGCATATAACTATGTTTTATCACGCTTTTAAATGTCACTGCCACATTTAATTGGGTCTAATTTGGAGTCGGGGCCCTCCTAAGTGAGTACTGTCTCTAAAGGCTGGGAGAAGGTTCCAGAACTCATGTGAGGAGGCTGTTTTTACAAGTTTCTAGTTTGTTTTCTTTCTCGTGTTTTTCTTTTCTCAGTGCTGACATTTTCAGCAGTGCTGGGAATTCCGCCAGCCGCTCATTATCAGAGTCAGATCGCCGTCTCCTCGTTAAAATCCATAAGGGCGTATCATACCGCTCTGCTTCAGGAAACCACGTTAAGTGTCTCTTCGCGCACTCTCTCTCTCTCTCTCCCCCTCTCTCTTCCCTCTTCTCGGTCACTGTTTGGCAAGGATCACACTGCGGAAATCAATGTCTTTAAGTGGCCAACACATCACCAAGGCCTTGTGGTCACTCTGTTGTGAAGTTCTCATTGTGCTTGCGTTATCTGTGGGTGCTGGTAGGCCACAGCATTGTGGGCAATTAGTCCGCTGGCCTTGCAGCTTGTAGCTGTGCCACTGACCTGTCTGGTGGCAAATGGTTGGCTGAGGTAACAGTTTATGGAAGATATCCTTAACTATGTTTCATCTGAGTTTGACATACATCTGTATTACAAATGTGCAGAATCCTAAAAAGGCATGGATTTACATAATTTACAACTACGCTTCAAAAATTGTTGCAACACTGTGCAAAACATGAATAAAAACAGAATGCAATGATGTGCAAATTATTCAAAACCTATTTTTAATTGAAAATAGTACAGAAAACATATCAAATGTTAAAACTGAAGTCTTATTGTTTTTTGAAATGTATAAAGCCATTTTTAATTTGATGGCAGCAACAAAAAAGCTGGGACAGGGGCGACAGAAGACTATTAAAGCTGTGTAATGCCTCCAAAGGATAACGGGTCAAATTTAGGGAACCAGCCAAGATCGGAATCACCAGATTTTGCTACAAATATGTAATCCGTAATTGGCCAGTTAATTACTTTGATTTTGGTTGCTCTGTGTAATAATGCAGTTTAAGGATGCTGCTGCTACAAACTTTTCCTTGAAATAGCATTATTAATTTGAGATCTTGAAACATTGGGCCAATATCAACAATATCTTCTAAGTTTTTTCTTAAATTTATTCTTGAGAAAGATCCTGAGAAAAAGTCTGCATCAGATCCATAATGCTCTTAAACCATAGAACTGTTCACTCCTTTGTGCTCTTGAGTGTGTGTAGATTCTGTTCTTACCTAAGAACAAACCCCAAATAAGAAAACACTGGTAAATGTCAGTATCTTTGTGAAAACTGTGTAAGTGGGTTTTAAGAAGAAATTTCTTCTTAAGAACGGTTGGTGAATGGGGCCCAGTGTTTTCCCAAAATAACAAGTTCGATGTCTTGGTCTATGCTGAAAATCACATAATCATTACTAAAAATATCATTCTGTCAGAGTCAGAGGAGCAGGAGTATATTGATGCGTCACATGTCACTTCAATCACAATCTGACATTCTGGAATAGCTTTATGCCTTGCTCAAGGAAATATAACCATGCAGAAGTTTAGAATCACTGTTTTCAATAATATAAAACTTGCTTGTCGGATGTACATGCATATGAAGGTGATTCTACTCTACAACTTTATACGTTTCTTAGGAATGATGAACAGAGCTGTAGATGATTCCATAGTGATTGAGAAAGCTGTATAGCATTGAGAATGAAGTTATAACAAAAAATCAGAATGCCTTTTATTTGATAATTTCATACGTTCTTCATGTTCCCAAAAAACCTCTTAAACTACAGTAGTAGGCAAACGTCAGAGACCACTTTTCAATTGTTTAATTTTTAGTCAAAAAAAGATTTTTCAGGGGATTTTTCATAGAAGATATATGATCAAATTAGCTGTAAAATAATCCAACTGCATAAGGAAGAAGGAAGTCACAGGAAAATAAGTGAAAAAAAGTTTACAAAACTAGACTTCACAAAAATAAAATAAGATAATTATAAGATAAAATAGGATTCTTAACAACTATGCAAGACCTGGTCGACCACCAAAACCATCATATAAACAGTACTTAAAGCTTTCATCTTTGAGAGAGAGGAGAAAATCAAGCTCCACTCTCACTTCAGATCTGAAAACATCCACAGGTGTTTCTGTCCATCCACTGTGAGAAGACAACACAACACTATGGGTCTGAAAGGATGTGTAGCTGTTAAGACGCTGTTACTGAGTAAAGGAGAAAAAGACCTCAACATCACTGAATGTGTTTGGGATTACTTTGATTGTGAGAAGCAGAAAATGCAACCAACTTCTAAGACTGAGCTTTGGAGGTGTGGGAAAAAAATATATCCCTGCAGAACTCAAAGGAAGTCTGAAAATAATGCAAGTTGTTATGAAGGCAAAGGGTGAACACTCTAAATGCTGAACATTTAGCAATCATATTTAGTTGTTAAATGTAGTGTAATTCTCTGGTAAATATTTATTTTCAGTTTTTTTGACTCTCAAAGTGAACAGCTTGTACTTAATGGCTGTTTTGACTGGACATTAAATAAATCTCTGAAAAAACTTTTACACAGTATTGTCTGCTATCTACACTCTTATAAAAAAAGGTTGTTCAAAGGTTCTTTAGTAAATGGAATGGTACTATTTAGCACCATGGGGTCTATATAGGACCATTTCATGCTTAAATGGTTCTTTGCATGGTGAAATGGTTCTTCAGACTGATGGAGAATGTATTGTATGTGGTTCTACATAGAATCTTTTTGGAAGTGACTCTATTATAGCTCCAAAAAGGGGGTAATCCATTATTTTGACATTGACATTGTATCTTGACATTGTAACAATAGCAGAACCATTTTAGGTGCTATATAGAACTATATACAACCCATTCACCATCAGTCTGAATAACCATTTCACCATGCCATGAACCATTTAAGCATGAAATAGTTTTATATATAACTCATGGTTCTAAATTGAACCATTGTCTTTACTAAAGAACCCTTAAAGAACCAAGAGTGTAGCTTATAGTATTCCAATCTACACTGTTTGAGTTACCATTAAAAAAATAACAGCAGTTAGTAACAAGGCAAGTGGTTCCATACTTTTGAATAGTAGTGTCCATAATGATGCATCATCTAATAACATGATTAGCCAATGAATTATCATAATCTTGAGCGGGGGAGGGGGTGCTATTTTGAGACAAAAAAAATGAAGTGAACTCTCCGTAAATAAAATAAGTGAATCTAGAAAGTTTTAGGGCTTACTTAGTGCTCACGTTCTCCCCTGCCTCTCTTCCTACTCCTGCTTCTCCTCCCTTACACATACAAAACACATCTCCTTAGGCCTCTTCCTCTGCACACTGTAATTACCTCACCTCCTGCTTCTTCTGGACACTAGCTGTGTTTGGAGCCCAATTGATTTTCCGGTTCTGGTCAAAGTCAGCATGACACTAACCCTCAATCGCTACACACACACACACACACACACGCACATACATCCCGTCAGCAGGGAGGGTTTAGAGAGATTCTGTCTGAGTTTGTGGGAGGATATGCTTGTCCCTCTTTGAAATGAAATGAAAATGTTTTGCCCACACACTGATGCGATTACCCAAAGCCGTTCCACACACACACATACACACACACACACACTGAGGGTAATGTGTTAAGAGTGTTAAGAGCACAGAGAAAGTGCTTTTTTTCTCAGAAGCATAAATCATAACAGTATAGTCCATAACGCAGAGTCAGTGGAATCTCTGAGCAGGATACAGTAACACTGCATCTCACTTTCAACCTCTCTGTGCCTTCTAAAGGTGACCATTACGGCTAGAGAGCTTTTATGGTTTGCAGTAAACCTCCCTTAAAGTAAATGGCATTTGAAACTGTCATTTAAGCTTTTCTGGATCATCAGTCTCACTATTGACCTTCCATTGTGCTCTCTGTCTGCACAAATGGTGGCTGTAACATGCTAGACACATTACAGGAGGTGTGTAAAAGACATCATTAAAGAGCAAACCAACAAAATGTCTCACTTACTCTTTCAAAAACCTTTGTGTGTGTGTTCTCAATGGCGTAACTCTACCACAAACTGTGAAAATTGATTTAAAGCTCAGAAAGATGTATTGTACAATGAAATTAGGGTCAGCGAAATCCATTTCATTGATAATTGTCTAACAGTTGCTGAGACTGAGAAATGATTACATTATTGCCTAGTCAATGCTCTCTCTCTCTCTCTCTTTTTCTCTGTGTCCATGCACACACACACACACACACACACACACACACACACACACACACATATATATATATATGTGTGTGTGTGTGTGTGTGTGTGCGTGTGCTTTCATGCTGCGAATCTACAGTTCTACCAGATCTCAAAGATGTTCTGCTGGATTCAGATCCGGTGACTGGGAAGGCCACTGAAGAACACTGAACTCTTTGTCATGTTCATGAATCCAGTTTGAGATGACTTTTTCTTTGTGACATGGTGCATTACTATGCTGGAAACAGCCATTAGAAGGGTAAATTGTGGCCATGAAGGGACACACATGGTCAGCGACAATACTCAAATAGGCTGTGGCATTCAAGCAGTGATTGATTGGTATTAGTGGGTCCAAACTGTGTCAAGAAAACATTCCCCAGACTATTACACCTTCATGATGTTGGTGTTAAATTCTCACCCTACCATCTGTGAGCCTCAGCAGAAATCACAGTTCCTCGGACCAGCCTTTTTCTTGTCTTTAACTGTCCAGTTTTTGTGAGACTGTGCCCATTGCAGCCTTAGCTCTCTGTTCTTGGCTGACAGAAGTGGAACCCAACAAGGTCTTCTGCTGTTGTAGCCCATCCACCTTAAGGTTTGAATAGTTGTGCATTCTGAGGTGCTTTTCTGCTCACTACAATTGTAGAGAGAAATTATCTGAGTTACTGTAACCTTTCTGTCAGATCATACCAGTCTGGCCATTCTCTATTGACCTCTCTCATTAACAAGGCATTTTCTTCCACAGAACTGCCACCCACCAGATAGTATATTTAAGATGGTTCCCTGTAGAGGATGTAGTAATTTATTTTCACTTAGAACAGAACATGTAATCTGACCAGGGTGTTCAAACTTTTGCATACAACTGTACATACATACAGGGTGGCCCAAAATCTAAGACCACGTTGAAAATCTGGAATTTTTTTCACTTAAAGCTGTAAATAAATAGGCAGTTTCAATATTTTGAGAATAAAACAAAGAAAAGTACATTTGTACATCAGATTTGTAAATCATCCCACTGTTCATAAATAAATATATAGTCTAAAGGTCTAAAGTCACAGTACCCAATGCCAAGCATCAGCTAGTGAGGGTATAACCCCAACCATCTTAAACCTAGATTAAGACCCAGATTAAGCCTAAACCTAGAATAAATAGAACTGTCAATGGAGATTCACCATTGGCTCTGCAATTTAGAACTAGGCTTAAGCTATGTCTGGGAAACCAACCCATATTGTATATACTTTTGTGATGGGCACTGTATTTGGCACTTTACAAGGTCCACGTACCCTATTTGTATTAGCAAATAAAAGTGATTCTGGTACTACATTATGAGAAGAAACTGCTGAGAAGGAGGCACCAAGTTGGAGCACTGAGGAATTAAAACTTCTCTGGCCTTCCTTCCACAGCCCCAATTATCTGCACTGCCAGCCACTCAGATGCCTCTTCAAAAGGGAGGCGCTTCAAGGTGACACCTCAGTGGAGGGGGTCAGGATGGAACGGGGGGACCTGGCAGTAGTTTTGAACATCTTTTGATCACATTTCACCTGATGGAGAAAAATGAGGGAGAGGGGGGGAGAGGAAGAGTTTAAAAGCTGTCATGGGGCTCGCTTGAGAGGTGCCTGTGGTGACATTTCGTCTTTTTAAAGCTTGAGATGGTTTTCTCTCGCTGGCTTCCACTCTTGTGGTGGAATGTGAGGGTGTGTCACAAACCAGTAATAAGACTGTAGGTGTAGCTCTTACAATTGCAATGATCAGGTCTATTAAGTTGTTCGACAAGTAAATGACAAGTGTGATACTAATAATCATATCTTTTTTTATAGAGCTCTATTCATACTGGTGGCAGCTTAAAGTGCTTCAGAGACAATTGACAAAGCTTAACAGTAGTAGAAGAAATTATGAGTATAAATTTGAAGTCATAGGAGACAATGACACAGATCAAATTATACAGATAAGTACCAAAAGAGACACAGAAATTTAATTAAACGGCAAGTTGAAGAGATGTTTTCAAATGTTTTTAAAATTGAGCACTGAGTTTGACTGCCTTATAAAAGTTGGACTTGAGTTCTGCAGTTTAGAAGCATAATAACAGAAAGAGTCTGTGCACGTATTCTGTGTTTTACAGAAGGTATTTGTAGAATATTTGTAGAAGGCCAGTATCTGCAGATCTTATTATGTGTTGGAACATAAACATACAAATATTCTGTGAGGTATGCAGGTGGGTAAAACTATTTTAATAGAAGAACTTTAACTTTTTGCTTTTCTTTAATTAAACAAACCAAATAAATTCCACTCATAAAAGTAATTTCCACCCAAAAAACTGTCCCTTATGAAAAAAGATCTACCACCGTGTTTCCAAAAAAGCTGGGATGCTGTGCAATATGTAAATAAAAATAGAATGCCGTCATTCAAATCCTGTATTTAATTGAAAACAGTACAAACACAACATATCAAATTGTGAAACTTTTTTTTTACCCTTTTTGAATTTGATGCCAGCAACACATTTCAAAAAGGTTGGGACAGGGTCATGTTTACTACTGTGTCCTCAACTTTTGGCTTATGATATCCAGCTTCCTGAGAAATCTTGCTTTGTAAAATAACCCCATGGTTGAGTGGTGTTTGAGTTTTTGTACTAGTGCAAAACCAAAGAGACAAACCACAGACACCAAACATACCATATGAAAGAAAAATGATGTACACACATTTGCTCATATTAAAAATATACATGCAAAATATGTTCAAAATATGTAATGTTTTAAAATGCATTTGCTAAATATATTTAACCATATGCATACATACATATATATATATATATATATATATATATATATATATATATATATATATATATATATATATATATATATATATGTATATATGAAATATATGTAATAATGTCCATGTTTAATGTTCACACATATGGCAAACATATGGAAATACATTACAAACAAACGTTAGTAAAAAATATGAAAGTACATTTCTATGAAATATGGGATGTCTTGGCTGATTGACTACATGTGGGGTAAAGAGTAAATGTATAAATTTGCTTTTACGGTGTATTATTGCTTTTACACGCCGCTTATTGGCCCCAGCTCTTGTTCAGAACAGGACTACCACAGTGAAGGAAGGTGAATAAGAAAACAGGGAGCACTAACGGCTTGATCCCGTTAAAATACTACTAATCCCAGGATCCTCTGAGGTGGCCCATGATTTCCGAGGTTGGTGTTGCCAGGGGGAAGGCGTGTTCCCGGACTGGAGTTGGAAATGACGGGAGCTGAAACTGGATTCCAAATCACATACCACAACAAAAACAGCGGGGCATAAGACACAGAGCTGCAAGCCAACGAACCGGGGTGTGTGTATGTGTGTGTGGAAAAAAGGCGTAGAAACAGACTGTTTAAACCATTGCAGCTAACCGTTTTGTTAGCTTCATGCACTTGTCCCACACCTGCTCTGCTGCTAGCGAGCCGGCTAATCCGAGCTGCTTGAGCAAAGCTGTGGAATGTGATTTTTCCTGCAGAGACAGAAGCAGCAGCTAACGGTACATTTATAGGTTATGTATGTGCAAAACTGTCAGCCGTTTACTTCCCTTCCCGCGATAGACTCAGCAAACCTCAGCGCTGACGGCTTTCACAGTCTGGATTCGGTATTCACGAATGTCGGTAGTGTGAAAACATAAACAGGCAAGTTAGCTAGCTAGTTAGCTGGACATTAGCTGGCTAATTAACTAGCCACGCTGCTCCGTAATCTGCCCACTGACCCGTGTAGTGCTGGACAGACGGATTGCCGGGGTTCACTGAGCCCTGCCAACAAGCTCAATCAACTCAGTGAACTTCAGAAACGTCTTTTTAAGTCGTTACATACTTTATTATTTTAAAGTTAGAGACAACGTAGCTTTGGCGTGACATGCTAAAGTAACGTTAGAATATTAGCATAACAGCCCCAAACGTTATTACAGAGGGACTTATTTCCGTTTTATTTATGGTCACTATAAGCCACTTCAGGTTGTTGCCCTGTGGTGAGACTATTTAAAGCTTTTTCTTATGTGTTTTCAGTCAGTAATGCTCCAGTATTACGAGGCTGAAGTTGGCTTCCTATTCGCCAGCTACTTGTTCAAAATTTCCCCGTTCCATCTTAAACGGTGCAGCAGCTACATCCGCCAGAACAGATCTCCTGCACAATTTAAGGTGGAACGGGAAAATTCGAATAAGAAGCTGACTTCAGCTTCGTCCAATATTGATATTTCACTGCTTTTAAGAAGAGGAAATCTTAGGATTGTGAGTCCAAAAGTGTAGGGAGAAACGTTTCTAAATTCGCATTGACGATTCTTTTGGTCAGTCAGCGATACCGATTAATATCGGATAGTTTTAATGAAGAGAATTAACACAGCAACCAAACGTGTGTCCTCCGGTAAAGGCAGCCAAAATAGCTCTGTCTGTTGGGACCACGGCTGAGGAGAGAGAGGTTCCACTATAGAGACACCTTTATTTATGAAGTGATCAGGTTGATAAAAACATTTATAAACACGGCGAGCACATTTTGACCCTTAAGACGTTAAAGATGTTATTTAGTAGCAGTAGAATCAATACATTCCACACATTCCTGTTTGAAGATGGTGCATTTAATATCGTTTAGCTTTTGTCCTTATTGTATTATCAGGTCATCTTGCTTTGGATTAGCTAAAATTTTAACAGATGTAATGTAATGTAATTTATATAAAAAAAAAAACAAAACTCCTTTTTCCAAAATGTGGACAACTTATCAGTGAAGGTACTAGGTAAATTCCCTTTAAAGTAATAGGTTGCTTGTCATGTCTAATTGTTATAATATGCTCTTCTCTCAGGTTCTCCTGATGGAAACGCTGATGAGCGCAGTGGCCGCTCGGCCAGCTGCCCCAGTGAAGCGCGTGGCAGAGGTAGACTTCCGCTCGGGCACCACACTGGAGCAGCTGGCGACGCAGGTGCAGGAGCTCGTACAGCTGGAGCAGGGCGAGTTCGGGGACCAGACTGCACTGGAGGTGCACACTGCCAAAGACTTCATTTTCAACATGCTTGGTGAGAAACACGTTTTATAAAATCTCCAAAATGATAACTTTACAGGAGAAGGAAAAAAAAACATACCTGGCTTTTAACGTAAGTCAATGGAACCACACATTTTCGAGTCATTTCGAGTCATTTTCGGTCATTTCTTTTAGTCCATTCATCATGAAATTTACATACAATGTAAAGGGCAACAGGCATTTTCAAATTATGTCAAAAACTGCAAAACGTCAGAAATGGAGATACAAGGTTTTTTTCTGACAACACATATATAGACATAATTTTTACATCAGATAATCCTATTCAAAGGTGAAGATTACACACAACTCCTCCAAACTTTTCACAGGCAGTATACCTTTAATGAGCAGACATACTTTCAATATTGCTACGGTTTTAATAAGCTGAAGTAGTTTCAATCTATGCTTCCAAACACAGTGGCCACTGTCCAGGTATTTCTCTTGATTCTATCATTCATTGGTGAGATTTCCACACAAATCTACCACACTGTTGATTGCAGGTAAGCCTGTCTGACCAATAGGTGGCACTGTTCCCATTTTCTGTCTATTTCTGTTTTACAGCATCACCAGCCAGATCTATTCTGGTTTAAATCCCTGCATTTTTTCTTTCTTTTTTGTTTCTCTACTCTCAATATCCCATTCTCATCACTCATTGCTACATTTCCCTCTCTCACCTAGACACCCACACACACACACCACACACGCACAAAGTAACTGTCATCCCGTCTTCTTCTGCTAGTCTCTATGACAATAGCTCAGAGAGGGAGAGGGAGATTTGCCTGAGCTTTTCATTCTTCTCCTGAAAATATCATAACAGCCGCTTCACATAATCTTGTCAAAAACTGGATTAGTTAACAGACAGCTTCCATGTATCTCTCTCTCTCCTCTCTCTCTCTCTCTCTCTCTCTCTCTCTCTCTCTCTCTGGCTCTCCTGCTGTACTGTTTTCCACCATAACCTTTTCCTTTACTCTTTTCTCACACTTTAGCCTGTAGCTTTCTCTTTGACCTATTTTTTTGTCAGTGTCTGTAAAATACCTCACAGTACTTTATCTGTCTAGTGCTTTCTGTCCTCTATTCTCTGCCTGCTGGAGAGATTTATTTTTCTCTGGTACTTTTTGTTGTTTATCTTTATCTACTCTCATTCCCCAGGGTGCAAACAGATTTTCAAATAGTTTATATCACTCTGCTTATCTCTCTGCTACTCCTCATTCGTTCAGCCCCCCCTTTGATTGGCACCCAGATTCCTTTAAGTGAGAACTTCACTGATAGAGAATTCCAACACTATCTCTTTCCTTTTCTTTAGTGACACAGAGTCAATAGTGAGCTATTTTAGGGCTTTGTTTATTTAACTTATCACACACGTATTGAGATTGAGCATTTGTAGGTTAACAAGAAAAATGATCTTATCCAGGTACCTTGTTCAAGGGGTACATACTTAAAAAATCAAAACTGCTGAAGAAAACTACAACTTACAATACAAGTATACCCTCAAAGAACTGCTTCACTGTTTTCCTGTTAGCTCACATGCAGTTTAGGTTCTGAGTTCTTCATTTATTCCACTCTGGTTCTAAAAACAGATGATGAAAGGGAGCAGAAAAATTTTCACTCTGATCAAAACAGTGTATCACAATCACCATCACTTGCTCGGCTTATCTTACAGTGCTGTTCCAGACAAACATTTGCATACTTTCGGCATGCTTTTCTATGTACTCAGGCCTAACCCTCGACCCTCTTCCCCCAGAAGAGCTCATTATACTGAAGCAGCATTATAGCATTCTTAAAGGCTCAGTGCTGTGCAGGAAAGCCAGTGGGGAGCGCAGTGTTTATTCTCAAAAATGCAGCTGCTCTCCATCCTGTGATAAAGGTCATGGGTTTTTTGTGAAATGATGCAAGTGCCAAACACAGTTCCTCCTTTTCTGACAGGGTTCTTGTTGAGCTCTTTTTAAGATGGATTAGTTTTACTTGTGGAGATGCCTTAATTTGAGAGATTACTGTCAAAATTTTAATCCAGTATGAATTTGCAAGTCTTATAAGTAATAATTCTGCAGCAAATTACCTTTTATAATTTGCCAGTTATAGAGCTCCCACAGTAATAATAGCCCTATTTAAATTGACCTCACAGTAATTAAGGCTTTGTTCACATTACAAGCCTCGTTGCTGTATTTTTTTGCTATATGCCTAAAAACAAAACAAAACAACAAACACATGAATTAGAGCCAGTTTAAGGGGAGCCAGGCCACTTCCAGTTTCTCCTGTTATATCAAAAACATTACTGCAAAATGCCAGAAGGTGCCCACGAGTGAGTCCTAAATGAATCGAGGTAAATGGAGCTAAACGGCTAAAAACAAAAAGTTAAACAGGAGCTTGCTTTAAATTTAGAAAGTAGGAGTCTATATTTCACTAAAAAAAAGCAAATAAAACTTAACTGTATATTTCCTTGTTTCTACAGCAAACAGGATTTAGGCATTAGGGTGCTAGCATTACTGCTAGTGAGTGCTGATTGGCTGGCGAATGGAGCAGCTCATTGGCTGAGTAAAGTGTCTTGCACTGAATGACGTCATTAATTGTATGTAAGGTGCTGTTATAAAGTCCTATAACTGAAGTTTAAAAGCGCTCAGAAATATAACGGCGATGTTAAAATGTTTTGCGCTGTTCTGTGTTCAGGAAATTGATGCATTCTTCTATATAAAAATGTTTAAGGATTTACAAATGATGCATTTGCTCAAATGCTCCATGTTAACCCATTCATTGTGGACCTACTCGTGAGCGCCCTCTAATGCTTGCTAAACTTGGAAGACATCTGATAAGTAATAAGCAATAAGTGGCAGTTCTCCTCACTACACATTCTCTGCATGAATTCAGATATGGCCGTTCTCATTTGTCACTGGTCTTCTATGTTGCAAAGAAACGTTTGAAAAACAGAACTAATGTTTCATACCTTGAACTACAGACATGAATCATGCAAGCGCCTGATTAAGTAGACACATCTCATTGGCTTCATTTAATTAATTTGCATAAAGTTCCGCTCCACTCAACGCACCACATCCCCCGACTGGAAGAAAAGGCTTGCTGCTCAGATGAGCTTGACCTGGCACAGTTCCTTTATCCTCAAGTTCATAACAGGACTGCTGTAATCTACTACATTTTGGTGATTGCCTAATTAGACAAAGGAAAGGATAATGTGATTGAAGTACCTCTTGCAAAGGAAGTCTTGTCAGGCGGCATTTGTTTAAGTTGAGTGAGCTCACTCTGTTGACCTAATGCTGTTCTATCTGGTGTTAACTGAAAAGTTAGTTTTTGTTGTTTGTTTGGACCAGTTTCATTTTAATCTTAACATTAACAGAACATCCAAGCTATCGTATTTCGATCTGGGCAATCTGGCGTAAATTCCACAGATATTTATATATATTTATATATATTATTCCATACAAATTGGCCATTTAAAGCCCTTAGAAATGACACTACAGGACCTTCTCTGGTAAAACAAATCCAGCTTGAATAAAGCATTAGTTTGTTGGTTCAGTATTCACTCAAATTCTTCCTCTATCAGATGGGAGGAATCCTTAGTGGGTCTTAAATGAGTAACTTAACCAAATATGCTAACATGGCCAGCAATGAATGGAAGCCGGTATCCCCCAATTAGCATGTTGTCACTTGCATAATGCGAATTTGTGGTTGTTTGCTTCCACTCGCTGTTTTTGTGTGGTTTCTTCCTTTTTCCTGGGTCCCTGTTCCCTCTTGGTGCATTTCAAATAGATACTTGACAGATATTTCTACTAATTCCATAATCACGTTGTGCTGAGTGATCACTGCTTTCATGCAGATGATGTGGTTGCTTGTTCTCATGGTCAAAGGCTAATTATATTTGCATGTTAAGTAAAACATCTTCTCATTGCCCTGATGGCTTGTGTGCATTTGTGGGCTAATCACGTTTATATCTTGTATGTAGAACAGGAACTTAGTATTCATTCCGCTTAAATTTTGAATGCGTATCAATCTGACATGCTGTCTTACATAGATGATTGTGTTGTGGTAATTATGGAGCATATATAGTGCTGATTTTACTATTGGTAAAAAAAAATCCTGTTGAGTGGGCTGAGTGGATTACAGGGCCACTGAGTTCAAACTCCTCTAGCTGTGTTATGTGTCCAAAAAAGGGTTTCATACCCAGCATGGTGCTGAATTAATACCTTGTAAAAAGGCAATACTGGTGTGGCGCTTTGTGGTGATTAATATTGTGCATAACAGCCATGTTTATGAATAGACTCCCATCGTAACATTAAAGTAATTAACTAGCATTTAATGAGGTGATCAGTGCATGTTTTATGCCGGCATGTAAAATGCTTCAGGCAGAGCAATCATGGAGTCAGACGGCCAACTGCTGATAGACTGGCTTTTGCACACTGGTCTGGCTATTTCCGTTTTTTTTTTCCTGCAGATTTAATAGGCACATCCCAAACTGGTTAGCCTGTACCTGTATGTCAATCAGCAGTATAATTACGTGACATCCAAATCCATCACCACACGTCAGTCACGGATAATTGTTTGAAATTTGAATAATGTCTAACTGCCAATCATCTTCATCGAAGAATATCTCTGTTTTGAAGGTTTTAAAGCCAGGGTGCCCAGCCCTGGTCCTGGAGATCTACTGCCTTGTCCTAAGAGATGCAGCTTTAACCCAAATCTAACACACATGATCCAGTTAATGAAGGCCTTCAGGATGGTATGGTTACTAATCTGAATCCAGAACTATTTGTACCTTAGTCAAACGCCTGTGTCCATTTCCTTTTTGTAGAATTAAAAGTATTTTTTTTGTTCTAAGTTGCAGTTAGTTCACCCATGTCTGGTCGTGTCCTTGACTTGTGACTGCTAAGCCTCACTTATCTTTGTTTATTTTTAAATAATCATGTAATGATAAAGAAAGAGTTGCTATGCAGTTTTGCAACAAGAATGATGCTCTAATCATTAATATTTAGTAATAAGCATAAGCAATATCAA